GTCGAGGTGTGTCAGAACCCAGCTCCTCCTCTTGATTCCCACCAGGGTCAATCCACCCTGCACACAAAGGCACCAGACCCTGCTTGGTCCCGACCTCCTCAGCCCAATTTGTACCCCAGTAGGATGCTCCCACGCTGATGAAGCTGTCCCAGGGACGTGTGGCCCTGGTACCACCAGGCATTAGGGAAGTGCTCATCCAGCACAGACCATCACCCACATCCCCATTGCTCTTGCCACCTGCGAGCAGGTTCTTTGGTGACCACAAAGGGGCTGGGATGAGGTTCTCGGTGTCCTGAGGCTCATCCTGAGCTGCCCACATGGGTGCAGCACAAGGTCACTGCTACACCCTCCTCCAGCCCCATCTCCAGGAGAGAAACAGCCCCGCTCCAGCCTCGCACACCCACCCCGCTCACCCTCGGCCACGTCTGCCTGGCCATTACCTGCTTACTGGAAGACATATTGGTCAGCGTGCTGATGCTGCTGGTATCCGTCACCACCATCGCCGAGGGGAAGCGGGAAGTGTGGGAATACTGGGGAGGCTCCTGTTTGTGTGCATACACTGTGAAAAGGAGGGAGACAAGAAGCTGTCACAGAAAAGCCACCCACAGCCCTGGTGCTGGAGCAGAGCAGCTGAGCACTGTGTCCTGGCAGGCCACAGGGGACAAGCATCGTGGAGAAACGAATGAGATGCAAGCCATGGAAAGAAACCACCACTCGCCCCTAAGGCACCTTTCTCAGGTAGCAGCTTGCCCAGGGAAATCAGAGGGGATGGAAGGGCTGTGCTGGACCAGACTCCAGAGCTCTGCACCAACCCCTCTGCAGCAAAGCCTGGTGCTGGAGCCGGCTGGGATGATGGATGAGCCTGAGGGATGGAGCCAGATCCCTCCAGGGCACAGCAAGGAAGCGTTTGCTTTGCAGGGAGCGCAACAAGCCCGGCCACCTCCTTTGGCAAAGCACGTGTTTGAGCAACGAGGACGTGGAAGGAAAACCAATTTGTACAAAATGCTGGGAGGGGGCTGCGTGTCATCCATGGGGCAGCAGCAGAGCGGGACGGGAGATGTGGCATGGGGAAGGAGAGGACACTGCCACGCACCCCACTCCCAGCCCCGTGCTGGCCGGTACCCATGCAGGAGAGGCGGCGACGGAGGGCACGTGCCCGGGCAGCGAGGGGAGGAAGGGAGCACGAGCTTATTTTCATCTGAGCCCATTTTCTGTGCCCTTTCCTCCGCAGCTCCCCCCCGGGACCCTTACTGTGGAAGTTCTGCAGCTGAGTCACGGCGGCCATAAAAGGCTGCTGCGTCATGTGCCCGGGTGACTGCTGCATCAGCGGCTGCTGGTGCGGGCTGTGGAGCTGCTGGGAGAACTGGACCGGCTGTAGAGCTGCCAGGCTGCCCGCCACGCTGTTGATAACGGGCACGCTCTGCGCCTGCGAGGTGTTCAGACCTGGGAGGAGGGAGAGGGCAGAGCGGGGACGTCAGCGGCAGCGTGGGGAGCGGGGCGTCCCCTCCCCGCGGCAGGAGGGGGCTCCGCGCGGGGGGCACTTACTGGGTGCGATGGCCATGACCCCTGAGAGCGGCGTCATGATGAGGTTCTGGGACTGCTGCGGGTTGTGGTGGGACAAGCTGTGGATGTTGGTCAGGGTGCTGACCGGGGGCAGCCCGCCCCCCGAAACGGAGATCTGCCAAGGAGTAAAGCAGGACAGCCACCGTCAGAGACACAGCCAAGGGGGCTGCTCCTGGACCCCAGCCCTGCTGCCCACCCGCTTCAACAGGGAGATTGGGGTGGGGAGCAGCCAAGCCCCCTCCCAGGAAGAGAGCAGGCTACAGCCTCACTGGGGCACCCTCAGCTCCCACTGGCCAGGAAGGCTGAACATCATGTTAATAAATAGTGAAGCAGCATCACGGAAGGACTTTGCTGGCCCTGGCTTCCAGCTCCACCGGAGCACGGCGCCGGGACACAGCACATCCTGAGCCTTTGCCATTTTGTCCCCCAGGTCCAAGCTCCTGCCCTCGAGGACAACTAAGGACTCTCAACACTCATTAACTTCTAACCGTCATGGTTGTAGGGGAAAGTGGGAAATATAAACTCAAGAAGTTCAATAAAAAGACAGAAAGCAGATAAAAAGGGCCTCACGGTGATGATCTCAGTGACCACTTTTGCAGACTGGCAGGATACTGGTGAGATGAGCCGAGTGCACTCAGCCAGAGCCAGCTCCCGGATTTCAGGTCAGTGTTTAGAGATCAGACACACAAAGGCTCTTGGAGCATGCCAAGAGAGCTGGAGCTGCTCCCCAGGACAAACAGGGGGCTAAGTGCCTGATTTCTTTAATTGCTGCACATTTTCCTAATCCCTCTAATTAGACCTTTTTCACTGAGCAGCCTCGGTCCCAATTCAGAGCCATCCTTGCCGCTCTGCATGTGACACTTCTGGACGGCAATCCGAGCACCTTGTTTATTTTGCACATGTGAGTTGGAGATAGCCCTGTTGCAACTGAAACAAATCCATCAATAAATTCCGAAGCCCGGGAGTGACTCACATTTCCTGATCCGGTATTTTCCACTTTCAAAGTCTCTTCAAGGCCAGGTTACGCCACACTCGGGTGCACAAGTCAAACAGCTCACGGCAAGCGCACGCCGCTCGCCTGCAGCCCAGGCTTGTTTCACAAGGGGGCTTAGACCCAAAGCACTGCACCCAAAAAAATTCCTCTGGAAGCTGCGTGACTGGAAAGGACCCTCCAGACATTGCACCTTCCGGGGAGACTCTCTGGCACTACCGTGGCTAAAGGCAACACTGGAGCATGACAGAGTGAACCTTCAAAGCTTTCAGCAGCCTCAGGAACACTCCTCCCTGAAAAAAATCTATTGCCTTCAGATACAGCCACTTCCTTGGCAGCTTTTGGTTTTATGTAGGGTAGTAAAGGCACATGTTTACTTACTGGAAACCACAGCCTACAACATATTTTTATTAAATCACTTGCAAGCACTAGCTAGCCCTGCTTGAAGATCAGAGATAAGCTGGCAGCACAGCATGGTGCTGAGGACCAGAGCAGCCCCAGACTGGGCTGTGCAAGCACAGCATGGTGCTGAGGACCAGAGCAGCCCCAGACTGGGCTGTGCAACGCTGCTGAGGACCAGAGCAGCCCCAGACTGGGCTGTGCAATGCTGTGCAGCAGGGAGGACCCAGCAGGGCTCCTGCTGTGGCACACCAGTGCCTATTGCACTTCAGCAGGTCACTTTTCCCAGCTTAATCTGCTCTGTTTCCACTCAGCCTTCTCCCGTGGTGCCTGACTGCTGCGAGCCCCCTCTGCCCCATCTGAGGATCCCTCCCTGTGCTCCAGCAAATCCAACCCTCAGACACAGCCCCTGCAAAAGGGGGGTGCTGGCAGCCTCTGCCCCAGAGCTCTGCATTGCTTTGTCCTCCTGGACCCTCACCCTGGGCACTCGGTTCCTGCTGCTGCTGCTGCCACCTTTATTCCTGACTCATTTTATGACTTCAGGGCTCAGGGTTATAAGGCTCAACACACCCCTGGGGAGATACGGGCACGTTCAGGGCAGAGGGAGTGTGCTGGGAGGGCTGGGGTTTGCTGTGATAACCCCCTGCTTGGTGGGGGACATTTGGCTTTGGAGGGTCAGCGTCTGAGCCCGAGGGGCTTCACAGAGACCCTCGCGAGCCAGAGAGCAGCAGAATGAAAGGCAAAATTAAGCAGTGCCATAGCTGAGGGGTGGGGGGATGAGCCCCTCCACAGCCACCCAGCTTCACGAGGAGACCGATGCGATGGCCCAAAAGGGCCAGCCCTCTGAAAATGGAAGTGAAAACCAGGGAAGAGCGAGCTTGGCCCCGCCGCCCAGTGCCATGTTTGACTTTCGCTTTCAGCAGAAAAAACCCTCCTCCCGGAAAAGCAGCAGCCACACCAGAACCTCCGCCAGCTCCGGGAGGGGCTGTGCTCTCCTGCCCCGTCCTGCCCCGTTCGTCCCCTCCTCACCCCACTCCTCTCCTTCCTGCCCTCCTCCAAAGGGCTTTGTGCCAGCCAGGTGCCCACAGAAAGGCGCAGCCTGAGGGCTCGGGCACTGGAAACCCAACGCTTACAACCATTTCTTTGCAGTGGTCGTGCAGCAGCCAGCACGGGGAGGCGTCAGGCACCCGGCAAGGATGCCAGTGTCCCATCTCTGCTCCTGCCACCAATTTGCAGCTCTGCCCAGCAAAGCCCTTGTAGCAGAGCCCTGAGGCCCTGGGGATGGGCACAGGGATGGCAGGAGCTCTGGGGCTGGAGCTGGCACTAGCAGGTTAGATAGAATCATGCAATCATTTTAGTTGGAAGAGACTTTAAGATCATCAAGTCCGGGCCTTGATGCCAGGCCACCACTAAACCATGTCCCTCAGCACCACATCCATGGTGCTCGCCTGTGATCACCCAGATGCCCTGGGTGCTGTCCTGGCACAAGGAGGTCCCTGCTCGCAAGGAAAGCGCCTCCTCAGCGAAACTACAAACTTGGGAGGGCTCAGGGGAAGAGGAATGAATGAGCATTTTATCGACACTCGTGTCACGGGCAGGAGAAAACAAACAGTGATCCGCCCAGGGCGCGCTGGGCCCGGGAGGCATGCGATCGATGGGAGCCCGCGCGGGGCTGCC